AAAAAGAAAAAATAAGTAGGTCCTCTGGATGGGTTCTTCTTTAGTGAAACGTTTCGTCTCTCCTCCAAGAAACTTCTTCAGACTGATGAGTTTCAGGTGAACTCAAGCTTTGATCTGAGCTTGGAGTGAGACTTTGAGCCACTGACCACTGTTGCCAACTCCCTGCTGCCTCCAAGCACCCACCCACAAACACACAATTTAACCCAATACATCAACATAATCAACAAAAACATTAATGATGATGATGATGATGATGCCTTTAGTGTCATTGTACAGAGCACAATGAAATTACATTTAAGAACAATAATAATACCAGGGCCACTATGCCATAGTTTTAAAATATCAAAAACCAAATACAACATCATCATATAAAGCTAAATCCGTTCATTCATTGAAAATTACATCTTAAGAACTTTCATGTCACTACTTGAACACTAGGAAACTCATTTGGCCGCTTGTATCCACAATCTTGTTCTTTCGGTCACTACCCCACTACACGGGGCGGCTGTGGTAGAGTGGTTAGGGTAGTCGTCCCGGAACCCGAAGGTCACGTTATGATCCCCGTCCAGTTGACTCAGTCGTTGTGTCCTTGGGCAAGACACCTTACCCTCCTTGCCTACTGATGGTGGTCAGAGGGTCCGGTGGCGCCTGTGTCTGGTAGCCTCGCCTCTGTCAGTGTGCCCCAGGGCAGCTGTGGCTACAATTGTAGTTTGCCACCATCAGTGTGTGAATGAGTGTGTGCATGGGTGAATGTCTGTAGTGTGAAGCACTTTGAGTGTCCTGGATGGATAGAAATGTGCTATATAAGTACAGTCCATTTACCATTTTATCATTTACCCAAAGATCGTGACCATGAGGGTAGGAACGTAGACCGACTGGTAAACCGAGAGCTTTGCCTTCACCAAGACAGACCGGTACAGCTCCCGCATCACTGCCGATGCAGCACCAATCCGCCTGTCGATCTCCCGCTCCATTCTTCCCTCATTTGTGAACAAGATACCGAGATACTTAAACTCCTCCACTTGGGGCAGGACCTCCTCCCCGACCTGGTAAAGGCATGCCACCATTTTCCGGCTCAAGACCATGGTCTCGGATTTGGAGGCACTGATCCTCAACCCGGCCGCTTCACACTTGGCTGCGAACCGCTCCAGTGAGAGCTGGAGATCAGGATCTGATGAAGCCAACAGGACCACATCATCAGCAAAAAACAGAGATGTGATCCTAAGGTCACTAAAACGGATCCCTTCAACACCTTGGCTGTGCCTAGAAATTCTGTCCATAAAAGGTATGAACAGAATAGGTGACAAAGGGCAACCTTGGCGGAGTCTAACTTGAGTCCGACTTATTACGGCAATGTGGACCAAGCTCTGGCATCGGTCGTACAGGGACCTAACAGCCCATATCAACGGGCCTGGTACCCCATACTCCCGGAGTGGCCCCAACATGAGTCCCCAAGGAACACGGTCGAACACCTTCTCCAAGTCCACAAAACACATGTAGACTGGTTGAACACCCATGCACCCTCCAGGACCCTGCTGNATGCCATAGTTTTAAAATATCAAACAACCAAATATTACATCATCATATAAAGCTAAATTCGTTCATTCATTGAAAATTACATCTTAAGAACTTTCTTGTCACTACTTGAACAGTAAAAATCACATCCATTCATCCAACCATCCATCCAACCATCCATCCATCCATCCATCCATCCATCCATCCATCCATCCATCCATCCATCCATCCATCCATCAATCTTCTTCTGCTAATCCGGGGTCGGGTTGCGGGGACAGCAGTAAGCAGAGAGACCCAGACTTCCCTCTCCCCAGCCACTTGGGCCAGCTCCTCTGGGGGAATACCAAGGTGTTCCTAGGCCAGCTGAGGAACATAGTCCCTCCAGCGTGTCCTAGGTCTTCCTCTGGGCCTCCTCCCAGTGGGACGTGCCCAGAACACCTCACCAGGGAGGCGTCCAGGAGGCATCCTAACCAGATGCCTGAGTCACCTCAACTGGCTCCTTTCGACATGGAGGAGCAGCGGCTCTACTCTGAGCCCTTCCTGGATGGCTGAGCTTCTCCCCTTATCTCTAAGGGAGAGCCCAGACACCCTGCGGAGGAAACTCATTTTGGCCGCTTGCATCCACAATCTTGTTCTTTCGGTCACTACCCCACTACACAGGGAGGCTGTGGTAGAGTGGTTAGGGTAGTCGTCCCGGAACCTGAAGGTCACCGTTTTGATCCCCGTCCAGTTGACTCAGTTGTTGTGTTCTTGGGCAAGACACCTTACCCTCCTTGCCTACTGATGGTGGTCAGAGGGTCCGGTGGCGCCTGTGTCTGGCAGCCTTGCCTCTGTCAGTGTGCCCCAGGGCAGCTGTGGCTACAATTGCAGTTTGCCACCATCAGTGTGTGAATGAGTGTGTGCATGGGTGAATGTCTGTAGTGTGAAGCACTTTGAGTGTCCTGGATGGATAGAAAGGCACTATATAAGTACAGTCCATTTACCATTTTATCATTTACCCAAAGATCGTGACCATAGATGAGGGTAGGAACATAGACCGACTAGTAAACCGAGAGCTTCGCCTTCACCAAGACAGACCAGTACAGCTTCCGCATCACTGCCGACGCAGCACCAATCCACCTATCAATCTCCCGCTCCATTCTTCACTCATTTGTGAACAAGACACCGAGATACTTAAACTTCTCCACTTGGGGCAGGACCTCCTCCCCGACCTGGTAAAGGCATGCTACCATTTTCCGGCTCAAGACCATGGTCTCGGATTTGGAGGCACTGATCCTCATCCCGGCCGCTTCACATTTGGCTGCGAACCGCTCCAGTGAGAGCTGGAGATCAGGATCTGATGAAGCCAATAGGCCCACATCATCAGCAAAAAACAGAGATGTGATCCTAAGGTCACCAAAATGGATCCCTTCAACACCTTTGCTGTGCCTAGAAATTCTGTCCATAAAAGTTATGAACAGAGTAGGTAACAAAGGGCAAGCTTGGCAGAGTCCAACTTGAGTCCAACTTACTACCGGCAATGTGGACCAAGCTCTGGCACTGGTCGTACAGGGACCTAACAGCCCATATCAACGGGCCTGGTACCCTATCCTCCAGGAGTGCCCCCAATATGAGTCCCCAAGGAACACGGTCGAACACCTTCTCCAAGTCCACAAAACACATGTAGACTGGTTGAACACCCATGCACCCTCCAGGACCCTGCTG